GTAAGACACAGGCTTCTTAGTACCATGGATTTTATAAATTTTACATTAACCCTATAAGTATGGTTTGAAACGAAATTTACAATTAACGAAATCGATCATCGAATAAGATAAGAAACGGATCTATGGGCGCATGAAGTAGATCCGGACAGGAGGCCCGAGTCGGATCAGCTCCTCGAAAGGGAGGGGAACAAGGTAAACAGCAAGTGCGATGATACCACGGTAAATTCGCCAAAAGTGCACACCTCCTGTTGAATATAAATAATTCAGAAGTTGTGGCAGGACTAGGACGAGACAAGACGGTCGTAAGAGAATAGAGGGACCAGGACAGAACGAGGAATGATAGTAAAATCGTTTCGGAAGAAAGTTGGTCAAGGGATTGACTACATTTGTCTATTTTACAAGTTATAGTTTGGTACTAATAATGGCAAAACGCACCGATGATGACGGCAAAGAGTCTGAAAAGTTATCAAGTGTATAGCCCGACTCTGGAAATTATCATGCATACTATGGACCCCGAAAAAGATGCGTTGCTCTAGGACTTTCTGCCAATATGACCAAGTTGCAAAAACAAGGTCAAATGAATATAATATTTTTTATATTTACCTGAAAAATTAAATCTTTTTCTGCACGATAGAAGTTAATTTAAATTAACCCTCGGTAAAATGCCTAGTTTACAAAAATATTCCTCCATAAATTGAGGTGTGTATTAAGGATGGCTAAAAGTTTTAGGTAGTTTCTATATATATATATTGTCAGAGTAAGAGAAAGACATGTATGTATGTGTAGTCCTTTTTAGATACAGAGAAAACTCAAAAATAAGGTATGTAACTAAAATTATATTTTATGTATTGCGGAGCGAAAATTCATAAGGATTGATGAAAGTAATGGAGTAACATTTATTAACTCTGCACAAGCTTTATATCATTATTAGCTCTTTATTTCTCAATCGCAACGCTTTTACTCTTACAACTTTACATCTGAAAATTCTGCTATTAGTTTCTTTACTCACTATCCTTGGTATAAGCTTTACTTATGTCTACCTATATCTATATAATTGTGCGCAACCAGGAACAGGAAATATTGAACACATGAACGTCTATTGTATGCAAATTAGAAGATTTATTTAAAATAACTACTGCCATACACAGTAATCTGCAATGAATCTCCCTCTGACTTAGTTATAGTATACTATAAGAGAGCCATAGTAAGTATAACCTATTTACGTGAATACTATAGAAAACGTGATAATCAGATGCAAGGATGAAATCTAAGTAGCCATATCACCAAAAACTATGTGAAGCATAAAGCAATGAATAAAGAAGCCAAATGTGCAAAATCTAGGTCTTACTGGATTTGCCCTAAAAGTTCACTAACGTGCCTGTGGATACAAATCCTTTGCAAATGAAATATATACAAAGCATCCCAGAGATTTATTTTCAAGAGTCTTAGTAATAGATATTTATTGTACTTATACGTCATAAATGCTGAGTCTCCATCATAAATGGATTCGCATTAGAGTGCCCGCCAAAGTTTTGTATAAATCTTTGTGCTTCTCAATTTATATTGTGAGAGGGCGAGTTAAAATAGAAATAGGCAAACTTATTTCCTATTACTTTTATTTGGATATAGAGCTATCTCAGAGTTCGTCGAGTAGGTTTTATCTTAACCTGAAATCTTTCCATTGCAAGTAATGCTATTTTTATGTTGATCACTTTCTTATGGTCGTTTCTAAAGTCACAGCGGTGAAACCAGGATCCCTTTTATAAACGAGATCAAAAGCAATGTAAAGTATTGAGGCAGCAGCTTATAAAAGAAGCTTATGTTTACCGCTGCAATATAAAATTAATATGCATATGTAGCCTCTAGGTTACCAATTCTTTAATAATGAAATTATACCCGCTAGTTTATCTTTTGTTTCCAGTTGCCGATTCGACATAGGAAGCTTGCTAATACAGAGATTTTCTATCTCCTGCTTGGATCAGGCTTGTGTTTCTTCATTTGGCAAACGGTTACTTCCTTTACTCAGCAGGAATTTATATAAGAATTATGACAGCCTTTTAAGACATGACATTTCCAGCACCAGTTTATATAAACTAAAGGGAGGTAAGGTTACGCATATTTCCCAAATTATTTTTGGAATAGCACTCTATGTGTCTAGGCAATTCATAAACATCTTTATCAATTCAACTTTGATTTTAAGATCATATTCTGCCCTAGCTTGAATCTGGAAACATAGGCTAGACCAGGTATGTACTTAATTATCTATAGGGACTTATTTGCTGTTTAAACAATCTTCTTGGGCTTTGAGTCCTATTGTAAAGCAGCCTATAATTCAGCTCTAAAAATGATTTTTAACTTATTACTTTAGTCAAACATAATAAGCAGATTTCATAGTTTCAATTAGCTTTGCATTAAAGAAGACTTGATAGATAAAAAGGAATTTATAAATATAAAACTGATGATAATAACTCATACCAATTAGGTCGCTACAAGTAGTTTTAATAGATGTTTATAAGAATTTTATAAGATTTTACTTGGCTTTCGGTTCGATAAGTCATCTCTATTCATCACATGAAAAACGAATTGCTAAGTTAAAAGATTAAAAAAAAACTAACAGGTTGTAGGCTGACTGGTTTTATCAGAGACTAATTGTACTCAAGTAAGTTCTAAAGAGCCTTAAATGGGGTAAAAACAAGAAGAGTATGAGAATTCAGAGTTATATTCTTACCATATCCTGAGTGATTTGTACCAGATGAACATGATTTGCCGGGCGCTAGTGAAGAACTTGAGGAAGACTCTATTTTTACACATAAATCTATATCTTTTTCTCTCCCAGTCATTTCACCTTCGACGCTCTGAGGTGATTGCTCAATGGGACCAGAAATCCAAGACTCTGATTCGTGAGGAATATTTACTGATATAGGATGATCTGAGCACTCCAGGATACAAGAGGACACATCATGAAATGACTCTATAAAGACATTTTCCAGGATTGTCTCAGAGTGCTCTTCAGAGCCGGATATATCCTCCTCCTCAATGTTCAATATTGGTGTAATCATACCTTCGTTGAGTTTTGACATCTTGGGTGGCTGATCCAGGTCCTCAGTCGACTCAAAAGGAAATGACTTGGTGTCTAAGGCTTCATCAGAATGACCAGGGAAGCAGTGAGTTAAGTCCATACTTGAGACACTAACGGGGCTGTCTCGCTTGAGTGAAGCTAAAATGGAAGAACGAGAGTGGTTTATATCACTCAGTCTTTTGTAAAGTCAGATACTTTTGGGGAAGGTAATGGCTTGATTTTTGCTTGTCTGGAATGTTAAAGAGAAAGATGCTGATTCCTCAAAATACTTAGAATATTTTTATCAGCCTGCTTTTACTTGCTAATAAATAATTAGAAAAGTGGGATTCTTGTCTTAATTTTTGTTTAACGACCTTACCAATAGCAAATGTAGAGTGGGTTTCAAAATTGCATTAATTTTTGGTTAGGAGTAAGAGTCAAATTAAAGGCATGATGTTGAATGAAGGCAATGACAATGCTTAATGATGAAACAGCCAACCCCAAGTTAAAGCAAATGAATAAATGGTTCGTTGTGGCATTGGTTCAGAAATAATAAAGAATAGGATGCAAAAAAGCAAGGTTAATGTGAAAGGAAAAAAATAAATGGTTGTTGAAATCCTCCTATCTTCTAAGGTGCAAGAGCGATATATTTCAAGAACATTTAAATCATCAAATTAAATTTATTTAAATGTTTTTTGACCTTGTTTTCGCAACATGGTCATATTAGTAGGAAGACTAAGAGGAACGCACCTAGTCCTGAGTCCATTATATGCATAATCATTTCTAAAGTCGGACCGTGGACGCGGTACATTTCCAAACGTTTCGCCGGCATCGTAGTCGGCATCGTCAGTGAGTATCGCCATTCTTAGCACCA